AGAAGAAGAAGAAGAAGAAGAAGAAGAAGAAGAAGAAGAAGAAGAAGAAGAAGAAGAAGAAGAAGAAGAAGAAGAAGAAGAAGAAGAAGAAGAAGAAGAAGAAGAAGAAGAAGAAGAAGAAGAAGAAGAAGAAGAAGAAGAAAGTTGGAAGGGACCTTGGAGGTCTTCTAGTCCAACCCCCTGCTCAGGCAGGAAACCCGGGCCTATACCATTTCAGACAAATGGCTGCCCACTCTCTTCTTAAAAACTTCCAGTGTTGGAAGTTGAAACCCAACCGTACAAACCAACATTAAAACGTATACCACAATAATGACATTAGTAATAGCTGCAAAAAAATTATAACTTGATATTCTTTTGTGCCATTTAAGGAATGTGGTACAATCTAATCCCTCTTTAAACGCCTTAAAAGTCTGTAAAAGTTTGATCAGGGTGACAAGCCAGCTGCCACCTAACACACACACAGCCTAAAGTGAGTTTTACACAGAGCCATTGGTGTCTCAGTGGCTTTGCTGGTCCAAAATTGAAGGAACAGGAACTTTCTAGCCCAAATTCGCAATGTTCTTTCTGATGGGCAGGCCACAAGAGCTCAGCTTTGATTCCACACGCCGAAAAATGGCAGAGCGGTTAGAGCGCGGGGGAAAAAAGCACAGCGCAAAAGATCCACTTCTCCCAATAAAGCCGTTCTATCAAAAAATGAAATCGCTCCATTAACAAGAGCTAAATTATTTAAAAGGCCTCCTCCATCATCTTTTTGCTAAAGGCCTATTGATTGAAAATGACATTACAAAATTATAGCTAAGAAAGAAAGAGAGATTCTCCTGCTCCACGCTATATCAGACAGGCAACTTCTACAGAGAGAGAGAGAGAGAGAGAGAGAGAGACCCTTGGCTGCTGTATCTGCAACACACAAACACACCCATTATCTATATATCCTCAAATTCCTAGGGGCCATGAAAATATAGTGGGGTCTGAGGGGTTTTTGCCACGGTTATCTTAAAATCGTTACCGGCTATCCGTTCTCTGGAAAAATCAGTACTCAAACATTATCGGACTCTGCTTCCGAGATCAAACCAATACACCCTCCGTTGTCT